GGAAATAACTAAGTGCATTAAATATTCTGTTTGCTGTAGAAACTTTCATGTCAAAACTTACGAAAAACTAATTATTAGTTAGAAAATATTTCTATTGACTTCTACATTTTACAGATAACGGTTTAAACTCCAAAGTATTTAATACTTTGCAAGAAGTTATTTCCATCAGTTTCTTTAACCATAAAATTTGTGTAACCTGTTTGCCACAATCAACACGTTGCAATAGCCCTTTTTAGTCTTAAGTTAAATGATATACCATCAGAAAACAAAAACCTTATCTTGATAGAGTAAACCTAGAAAATTAATTTACCAATTTGCAAATTAGGCGAAACGTGGGGATTAAAAGTACTTGAAATAGGGATGAAATAATTTCAAAAAAAAAATATATATATATATATATTTATGGCGTTAATGTTAAAGCTTAGGGACAATGACCAAAGAAATAGCTACAATAGTGGTCTAAAGAACTTTACAAGTAGAGGAAACTTGGAGTTATAGGTTTAATTATTACAAAGGAAATCAGAATTTTAAGCGAGCATAGTTTTAGGACATTTGTATACACAAAAACTTGACAAAAATTTTTGTATGGTAACATCCAGTGTGAGCTCTGTTTGTTGCAATAAGCAAGTTTTGTTCTATCTATCAAAATTGTTTTTAATGGGTTGCTTTTATTTTAATATATACTCAACTTCTAAAGCAGTTGTAAAAATAAATTTTTTTAACTTTCGTGGAATATAAAAGACGCAGTATAAAATATATTTTATTTTATATATAATCACTAAGCAGCTTTGTACTTACTAATTTACCAAATCTCTTAAACGTTAATTCTTGCCCTCAGAACGGGTAATATTAGTAAATATAGTATAGCGCCCATTTAATGTGGAAGGAAAGAGGTATAGCCTAAGCAGATTTATTGAACTGCCTTACCCGCCTATATCGTAATAACAAAAGTGAGTTAATGGTGCGTTATACAAGCGATGTTTTAAAACTCCATTTCGATTAGTTCTTACGATTTAACTATAGCGCCCTAATTATATAGAATAAAAGAAGGTAGGAGTAATACTCTTTACAAAAATACCTTACCCTACATCCAAAAGATTTTAATCTCTCAAGCAAGTACGTTATTTCACATGGTTTTATACGGTGCTTGCGCGAACGCGTATATAATGTTTGTAAATAATGTTATTGGTTTTCACATGGTATGTACTCGCAATTTTCAATTCTAAATTCTAATTAAACGCGCTTACCGTCAGTGTCAATTTAGCTAAAACGCATATAGCTAGCACAGCAAAAATATTTAAACCTTTGAAATCTTAAAAAATGCTTAACTTATTATCTGCTATTAGCTATTATAAAACGCACTTTTTAATTTTTTAAGATGGTTTTACTTTAGACACTCCATCACAGGTGTTAAAAATGGAATTAATCGCTACTGTTTTTAAATACTTTTTAAAATAAAGACGTATTTTTAATGGAATTTGGTTTATTAATAAAAAATTATTTATTTATTTTTTCTAATTTACGGAGTTACTTCCAAAGTGTGTCAAGTATGTATTTAACGAGGAGCTGTTTGTTCCAGGATTGATTACTCCTAAAGTTACTACAACAGATGTGGCTTTACAATAGAAGAAAATAGTGTACCCAAGAGAGAATTAAGTGTACATAAATTCTTAAAAATTAGTAGTATACACCCTAATTTGGAGTCCCTCCTTTAGAACTCAACAGGTCCCCCAGAAAGCAGAGCAGGTAAACAAAAAAATTAGCTTTCTTCCTAATGCATTTGGTCGCTAAGTTAAAATATTTAGGCGTAATCTAGATCATGGTAAAAGGTTCAGACCGGAAAAACTCTCAGCTCCGGACTAGAATAAATAATTTAGTCTTCTTTTTTTATATACCTTTGCAAAGAGCACTTTGTGAATGGAGCAAAGAAGTACTATCCTTGTTTAATATAAACTGCAGCTAATCATAAAGCACAATAAAAATATTGACTTTGTTTTTATTTTATTTTTTACATAATATGCAAGGTAAAGTTTATTGCAGCTTTAGACTACAAAATTAAATTATTAACAAACTTATAACGCCTCTCAAGACAAGAAATAAAGAAGAATAAAGGTTGCCTTAAAAGATAGCTTGGTATCGCTACGTTAAAAATGAGCTTTTATGCCTCTCAATATTTACTCTACCCAATTTAAAATAATTATTTTTTTTATTTCCTTAATATTTGGACGTTTTTCTATCTCTGTAAAAATAGCTTGTAATATAAATTTTTTGGGAGGAGATAGCCAAATCCAAGGTTTATCGTCAAGCAAACTTCCTTTTGTATACCTTACGTACTCCTCACTTTCGCTACTAGCCTGCGACCAAGGGAATCTTCCAGTCAATATTGTAAAAAAAACCACACCGAATGCCCATACGTCTACTGCTTTTAAATCGGTATCAGTAAACTCCGATTCGAGATCGTACCATAACTCTGGGGCCATGTAAGGCACTGTACCCACCTGTCTTTTGTGTGATCTCTTGGGGACTGTAAATTCGGATAAACCGAAGTCAATGATTTTAAGACATGAAAGATCGCTAGTTAAAGCAATGTTTTCAGGTTTGATATCACGATGAACAATATTAAGATCGTGCAAGTAACTTAAACCGTCGCACAATTGCAACATATAGTTCTTTGCATTAACCATATTGGTTAAACCTTTTTCTGGGTTTATAGATTCGTATAGGTCACCGCCACCCAGGTACTCTTGAAGGATCACATATTCCCTTAAAATCTGGTTACTGGGCAAAATATTATCGCAGACCCCGAGTTTAAGCATTTCTATAACATTTTTATGTTTTAATACTTGCATGAACTTAATTTCCTTGAATATAGCCAGTTCCGTATTAAAATTTCTTGAAAATAAACGTTTTAAGACATAAAGTTCTTGCGATTCTTTGTGAACAACCAATTGAACTTTAGCTGTTTGTGAAATATTTAAAGTATTTTTTAATCTAAACGTTTTGTTAATTTCCTTGTAGAAATTGTAAGAATTTTCTTGGCTGCTAATGGTGCTAAATATACTATTTCTAGCACTTTTATGGGGGTTTTTTACGTCTTTCAGTGTGTTAGATGCTTCAATGCATTTAGTTTTTGAAGGAATAATTTCTAATAATGTATTTTTTATTAGCTGGGAGTCGTCGTTTTTTTTCCAAGAATCTAATAACCTTTTTTTTTTGGAACTCTCCTCGTAAACTATAGAGCTAAATGAGCATGCAGGTTTTAACGTAGTATCAACATCAATAGTGCAAAAGTCATAATCTTCCAGCTCAGTTTTTCTTGACTTCGTTTGAATTCTTAAAGTTTTAGCCTCATTTGTTCGGTAAAAAACGTTTTCTGACTTATCCTTCTTTTTAAAATGTGTAAAATATCTGAAAATAAGTGAGAGCCAACGATTGTGGCTTTTTTCTTCTTTTTCTAATTTGTGTTTCATTTTACCCTTCCCTCCACTTTAACATGGTATATTATGACTTTCTGTTGTGGTTAAAAAAAAACGATAAACGAAAAATATTTCCTATTCGTGGTGTTACTTCTTTAACGGCTACAGGTAGCCACTAGAATTGATTTGTTACAAATAAAAACTATAATGGAAAACTGTCTAAAATAAGTAGGAAGAATTTGAATGTAATAAAATGATTCTATAAAAAGAAAGTATCTAAAGTCAAAATTAAAAAAATAGATAATACACCTGGATAAACATAAATAAAAAATTTTTTATTTACTAATGGCTATATTTATATTAGCTTCAACACTATAAAGTCACTGAAGTGTTACCCTATTTTTCCTTGCAAGTTTGGGACCTCACAAGGAGCGTTCTTATAAAGTTTTAATAATTTTCCCAATAAAAATTCGTCGTTTACAGTAACTTTTAATAAAAAAAAATGGTTCAAGGGTTTCTCTTGTTCTTAAGTTTAAAGTAGACCTAATAATAAAATTATTTTATTTTGTTATTGTTGCTTTTTTTAGTTAACAGTTATATGAGTTATTAAAACGGGTAATTAATATAAAACTTACTGAGCAGAATAGGAAGTGAACGAGCTACACTTAAACAAGTTGATAATAATTAGGAGCTCAAACGAGTTTTTTTTAATTAACAGATTTCAGCGAGTTAAGAACTGTTACTGGGCATGCATGAATGGAAATGCCCGCTAAATAAATAAAGAAAGCTTGAAGAGAGCATCAGAATAAAAAATTAATATACATATATTACTACACCCAGCTATTTTATTCCGTTCATTTTACTAATTTTAATTTAGTAAATTAGCCATGAAATTACTAGAAGACGAGGCAGAAAAAGTTCTTCCTCTTGCTGACTAAAAACATAGGGGTATATGAACTCGGCGAAATTTTTAACGATATTGTATGAGGCCTGTGCAACTTATTAGTATGCTAAACTTCCCAATAAAGCCTTACTAAAGATATGAGGGGGGTAGAAAAATAGTTCCATTTTGCAAGACCTTTGATCTTAAAATTTAAATAGAAGCATGTAACCCTTAAAACGTGGGCTTCTTTGCACAGACAAATAAAAATTTCAAGTTTCAGTAAACTTATTTAATCAAAATATTCGCTTTAATGCGATAACTATGGCCGAATTATTATTGTAATCCCTTATAGCGATTGTAATTAATAACTACTTTTTATTAAACATAAATATTTAAGTATTTCTGGCTTATATAAATCTGAAGCTAGGATATATAAAAATGAAGTAGGTAACAGAAGTCTCAAATATAATTTCTGAAACAAATTATTCCCCTATCACAACCCTAATTCGTGACACATAACCAGATATGTGACCTCTACCTAGCGGTTGGGGTGGGGGGTGGGGGGGCTAGTGCTGTAGGGCTTAACTTAGGAGTTCATAATTGTTTGACCAACTAGCTGAATGAGATAAAAAAATGTCCCAGAAATGCTATTAATTCTTGTACTAAGCGTCTCCTAAAGTCCAAAGGCTGTCCAAACACAGAGCCCCTCTAACAGAAAATTTATACGCAATGTCCTCGTCCCTCATCATCCGGAACTGTGTTTGTAAACGTAGCTAAAGCATGATAAATGTCGCAGATTCAGTTATTGTCGGTGCAGCTCACAGTTCCGTGGGTCTTCTTCAAACAAAAATTATTATATAGCAACCAATTGGCAGCCTAACTTATTTGTTCCTAACATTGTAGGGTTCCCTCTACTAGCAGACAACTTAAAATTTACAATCTCTTTCTTTTATAGTTGATACCGTCTTCTTAAGGCCTTCAGAAGCCCCTTTTATTTCTTTCCTTTAAATAAAGATATTGTTTATTAGAATTTATGAGGGCTAAATTAATTACACAACAAAGACCGAAAAAGAGAGTCTAGTCGGTGGGAATCGAGCCCATGACCTTGATTATGAGCGTCAATGCTCTTAACTGGTGAGCTACGATGACAACTCTCGACACCGATATGATGTCTTTATTAACCTGATACTGGATCAACAGGTAAGAACAAGTTTGGTGGTTAAGTGAATAAAAAAATTTTTTTTACGTGATAAGTACCATAGAGGATAACCCTACATCCCTAGTCCCTTTTTAAATAATTGTCTTAAAATTTTTAAAAAAACCAAGTTGCAATTCATTTTATCACCCTTAATCGTCATTAACCTTATGTTATTGTAGGAAGTAACGATATAAACACTAAAAAAGCTATAATTAATGAGTCATTCAGTAAACGCGAAGAGTTAAAAAAAAATTAAACCAAAGCAATAGCGAATAAAGTTTGTAACGACCAGCTTCTCAGCCACATAAAGGATATATATATTTTTACAAAAAATAAGTAATTTACTTTGCGCCCGCGAGGGTAACGAGGTAAAACTCTTTATAAAATAGTTAAAAAATTTTCCCTCAGCTTCAGGATGAAAACGCTCTCACCCTTCTCCAAAACAAAACTTATAAAAAATCAATTCTCTCTACATGAACAGTTATCGTTTCGAAATCTTCTGGAGCAAACATTGCATGTACATTATTTAGAAGGGCTCCCGTGAGTACACAACAAATTATATTTTCAAATTTAAAAACGGTATTATCGCTTAGTTTTTTTTTTTATTAAATACATATTTTTATTTTTGTGTTAGTTAAAATCAAATTTAATATATTTAAAAAATGAGACGAAAAAGTTTACAAAAAAATTGTCACGTGTCATCTCACGTGCTGTTTCCTGTCCCACATTTTTAAATTCGTTTTAGATATGATCGCTCCTCCTCTTTTTCTCGTATAATAATCCTCCAAAAAATCGTTTTTGTGATGAAAAAAATGGCGGTTAACAATTAGCCGAGCTTGTATAATGGGCTATATACCTTAGAACAAGCCCTGAAATTAATTATTTAGAAATCGAAATTAGCTTCTGAAACCGAAACAGGGAAAAAGTGGTCACACAATATTACCGGGAAATTCTTTAATAAAATATCTATAAACGTGTGCGAAACAATAAATAGTTAGGCGTTAGAAATTGGTGGGGTAGGAATGCAGCCGTCGTGTATGGTATAATAATAATCGTGACACTGAACTGGATCCTTTTTAAATATTAACAAAAGATAAAAATTGGTTTCAGCAACTTGGAGCGAAGAAAAATTCTTTTGGTCCGATGGTGTCATATTTCTGCGGTATATGTTGGAATCTACTCTTATAAAATTACGCATTCATACCATGACTTAACACTTGGCTGTTATAAGCGTCACAGTTTAAATTTTTTACTCTCCCAATAGGTCTACGGGACGATGAAATAAATTTATTTTTCCTCAGTCAGTATGTAGTAAAAAAGGAGCTAAGTTCATTCAAAGGATTACTTTTATGAAACGAATTTAATGAATGTTGGTTTATCAATTGCTTCATTAAAGTTAATGCCACCACCAAATAATACCGATGGCCAAACAAAAGCTTTAATAAACTTTTTCAGCAAACAATTAGGATATTTATACTCCTGGGTAGTCGCCTTTAGTTAGTTCATATATATTTGTAGCTAATTTCATATGCCTAAATCCGTTTTCGGATGGGAGTGTGAAACAACGCAATTAAATTAATATTTCCCTTCATTTTATAACGTCCTAGCTGTAGCCGCTACAATTTAACTTTAAGATATTGAGCAGGGAAAGAGCTAGAATTTAGAGCTAATAAGGTCTAAGCAACAGTCGTTAATGTCATTATTGGCTGGATGTAAGAAATATAGAATTGCCATTAAATGCGCAAGGAAAGTTTGCTCTTGCTGCATAGTAAAGGGTAAAGCGCCTTCTTGTTGCCTTAGACTTCGCCGCTACATAGCCAGGTGTGGCTGCCAGGAAATTTCTTGTCAATGATGACTCCCAGTTATTTTGCTTGAGAACAGCACGGAATCTTCACGCTATCAAATGTAAAGGCCCCCAACGAGAAAACGGTTTTCATGGAAATTATAAGCATTGCTCGTTATCACATTTATAGAAACTTTCCAGTTACGGCCCTAGCCAGCAAGGGCATTAAGATAACACTGTAGACGCTGGCATAGCAAGGCGGAGAACTTCCACGAATGAGTAAACGGTTGTATAACCGCATAGAAGGCGATTTATGTTTGTGGATTTTGACGACAATAGCATATAAATTGCAAGTAAAAGGGGCGAGAGAAGTTGCCCTTGGGGAACTCTAACAAAAGTTGTAAATTATCGACCGAAAAGGTGAGTTGTCACCCTGAACCCGTGGTTAGAGCATTATCGCGTAAGCTCAAGGTCGTGGGTTTGGTTCCAGCAGGTGCCAACTCGCATTTTATGATTTGGTGGTTACGTGTCAACTTCCCCATAAGCAACTTCTAATAGACTCCTGCTGTCAGATATCGCAGCTGCGTCTGGAGTATGTTTCTAATTTTTTTTTTTATTACCTACATAACACAGTCAGGCCTTAATTAAAAGAGAGAAGCCGACATGAATGGCCAAGCGAAAGAGCTTTTACCAAAAGACTGCTCCGGAAAACTAAAAAAGCGGAAAATATCGGGCACTGACCCCTGCCATTCGGCCTAGTGGTATGGAAAACCGCCAAAAAAAACCACCGGGAGAGGGGGCCCCAGGGTACAAGACCCGAGACCTTCTAAAGTCTTTCCGGATAGCACCATTTCCATTTTACCAACCAGTCCGTTCCGATTAAGAGCTCCCTCCCGGTCTGAGGTTTATTGTGTTATATACCCATTTATAATGTAATTTGATGAAAGAGGTAAAAAATCAAAATTGTTCGGGAACACTCCAACAAAATTCACATGGTTTTTTTTGGTTACGTTAACTCGAACCAAGCCACACCATACGCACGATTTTCATTAGCACTATTGAAGTCTGTTTTTAATTGCAATTAAACAAAATGGGTTATTACTAAGAACCTATCCATTTTAATTATATATACGTGATTAAAAAAGGTTCCGTCAGAGTTAATTGGTAATGTGCATCGCCCCTAAGTTCTTCGTTGGAGCATATTTTATTATTTAATAGCGTTTTAAGTGTAATATTTAACTTTTTATAGAGTTAATAATTTATATTTAATTAATACTGTCCTTAACGAATTTAAGTGTATATTTCTTCTTCCAAATGTAATTTTAATTTCATTACTATAGTAAAACGCAAACTTTACAAAATACATTTAAATGTAAATAACAGCTGTACCCCCCCCCCATAAATTGGGCTAAGCTTGTTATAATAGTAAGGCGAAGAGTTTAAAAAAGTAAATAAATTTGTTCTTTCAATATTAACCTGATCGAACTTTGTTAAATAATATTTTAAAGCACAATTTTTGCACGTTGGTAAGGAGCGGTTAATTATATGCTCATTTTTGGTTGTGAGAGCGAACAAAAGACGATAATAGTTGGTGTTTCTTCTCTTAAAGGGGGAAAAGGCGCAATGAAAATAGCTATAGACGGCGCAGGATAAAAAAATTTTTCATAGTTAAGTCGTATCATACGAGCAAAATTTTTGAAGATGTACTATTTCCAGCAGGTCTTTTCGGAGCAAATAGCCTGTTTCTAAGGATGATTTATTAATAGCCATAGTTAAGTACAAGCTTTAACTCCCATAAAAATATTTCTGACGTTCACTAAGGGGATGGTTCTTTCAGTTCGTGCAGTCTTGCTACGTACTCAGCGTCTGGCTTGCCAAAAGTTATTTTTCGTGAACTTTTTTCGGAAGTTTCAAGAAACGATGCAATTTCGTGTTTCTTTTCTTCTGAACAAAAAGGAAGTATGGAGAGGACCATATCCAGCTTTGAGTCAAAATCAACTAAAAAGGATTCCAAGCTCTTATGGATCAACAGTGTTCTACTTCCTGCATTATACTATGCAAAATTTAAACTTGATAAATTCTTTAACTTCTTAGGGGAAGAGTAATCACAATTTTTAATACACGCATACTGACTGATGCTTACGTTCAAAGCAGTTTCTGCCGTCCTTGTTGAAAGAGAGTGTAGTTGTTTTTGCAACTCTGTGCTATTCTTAGAAAGAATAGGAACAGAGTTTCCAAAAGCAGAGGAGCCCCAGTGGACATTCAGCATAAAAAGCTGATCGGTTTGGAAAACCACAAGTGGCCGTCTAAGCAGAGTTGTTCGTATATGATTCTTGGTCCAAAAAATATTTGGCTAATATAACCGAGGATCTGATTGGTCAAATGGCTTGAGTGTATGAGGACACTTTGTGGGTTTCTTTATAAAGGGAAGCGCCCCACGAAGAAGATTAAATTCAATCTAGAGGGTTATCATTTCATAGTAATAATAATGTTGCGTAAACTGCCAAATATCCACCTCAAACAAGGAAAAAACGTTATTAGCACATTCATAACTATTTATCTGCATATATACAGTCGTAAGTTTATATTTCCTGTCGATCATATTTTATATAAGAATTTAGTTCCTGAAAAAACTGAGTTCTGGAAGACATAGCAGGCGGCCCAAAAATAATGAGGTTGTGTGCCATTAAACAATGATACATGTTGATGAAAAAAGAGACTCTCTCGTGGTTTTCAAGGCTATAATGCGTAATAGTATAGTATAATAAACAAATAAAAGAAAACATTTAGCCTACCTCACAAGTCGTTCATAGCTAAGAATCTTGAGTTTAGAAATTTCATTAAGAAAGGCAATCAGTTTTTCTGGATTGTATAATAATAAGCGAGTAGTTATAACAGCAACATAAACGAGCCTCTTGATGAATCGGCCTCTAGAGACAGAACAGCCCTTAGACAGTTGGCCATGAGATCACAAGGGTGCACGTCCCCCATGCCGGGGGGAGTGGCGCCAAAGTACATGACGCGTTCGTTCATGAGAATCCGTTCGCTATCCCAGCGGTGTTTTGAGCGGCTCGCATAGGACTTGAAAAAAATGAAATTTTGAGACAATTCGAGCCACAAATTAAAGGAAAAACTTCTTGAATGGCAATAAGGTCATTTAAACCAAACACTTGCCCTACGTTAACGAGATTTTGCTGCGCAGCCATTACCTGCGCGATAAGCTTGTTCCACCTGAAATGAGAAGAATGTGATGAACAGAGAACAACGTAGCATATCCCTACACTATCACACCATTTGTCACGCTTGGCCTTGCTATCGAAAGCAAGGTAGTAAACGCGGCCAACAGTAGCAACGTTAAGGAAGGAAGCTGGGAAATACTTCTCGGGGTTTTTCTGAACCTCTAGAACATCTCTCAAGTCGAGGTCAATATCACACTTGCGACGATTCTTCGAATAGAAGCTATATAGTTTCGCATAACACATGTCTGGTAGAAACCCCCGAGAAAGAAAGCACCAAAGACGAGAAGCGTAGCAAACGGCCCAACATTCCATCCAACGAGTTTCCCACACGGCCCGTCCAGCAATCCCCTAAACATTATGACAAATATTTCGAGCGGGCAACAGGCGCCAAATATATAAAACCTCAATGGAGACGGCCCCGTGAGTATAGTTCACCGTCAGATCCAGTTCTCGCAAGGAGCCAGTGAACAGAACAGAGCGCGTGTTAAAGTGTTCGTCTAGGAAGTATGTCAGCGTCTTTCGGCCCTGAAATAGTTAATATATGGCATAAAGTGATTTTCTTTGATGATAGCAAATACTTCAGTAGTTTTCAAAAGTTGCGCAAGGAAATTGGAAATGTCATCTCTAACGAGTTCAATAGAGTGGGTAGAAAGTGAACTGTTAGCAAACGCACTGGCAGTTTCTTCATGGCTAAACTTCCACTCAGGAAACCCTGATGATATTATGTATGTAAGGGGGTAAGCATGACGTTAAAAGCACCTTTTGAAGAGCCGTGAATATGCGAATGAAGGGTTTGTAATTCGTGGATGCTACCGAGGCTGCGAAGGGCAGAAACAGTGTCCGATGCCTCGTTGCTCGGCTCTTTCTCGCTTTCTGAAACCTCAAATATGACATTTAGAGAGAAATCACCAGTAATGGGTGAGTACCAGTGACAGCAGACTTTGGTTTCCTCCATATTTTGACAACAAACCAGACGCCTCGCTGGATGTTGGCTCCAATGACATACATTGGACATGAGATTGATATAGTTTCCTGGCCCTCCTCCGGTAAAGTGGCCTTGTTAATAACCTCATGAAGGCTCTCTTGAGAAAGCTGTGTGCAGGGGGGTGTCTTCAGCGAGCATGGGTGCACCATAATATATAAGTGATGCCTCCGTCTTGTCTGCATGTAAAGCCGCTGCTGGAATGATATTACTGGTGGTGCTGAGGTTTCCGACACTGCACTTATCATCGACCCAAATAACCTCACCCCCTTTAGTATAATTATGCATTTGCGTACATCATTAGCAATACTAAAAATCACCTACTGCAGTTAAATACCTGAATGTTCAATTTCAAAGGAAAATAAATATTTTTTACGATCTCGGTGGTGAATTTTATCGTTCTTTTTACATAATGAATATATATTAAACTAATATTATAAATGATATGAAAGGCAAACTTTTTTAACGGTGTAGGCGACCAGCCATAGAGGAAGATCGCCCAGGAGCGTTCGAATGTCTATTTTCTTCTTTCCAGGAAAGTTCACGACCGCCCATTTGATGAAATCCACGTACATTCCTTTTTTTAGCAATAGTAATTAACGGGCCAACTAGAGCCTTTAACCAAATATGACACCATGCATACTAAAAGTGTAGGTGTTCTCGGCCAAATAGTAATGCTCTAAAGAAGCACGTGCCTTCTTGTCCAAGGGCTCTGGGAGCATCCCCACGCAGAGGGGCGGGGGCTCCTCACCCGGCGAGGTAATGATTAACCTTAAACGAGGAACCGAGTAATGATGAGAAATGTTTTCTGTTGCAGTTGAGAACAATAAACCTATCCACAGTTGTTTCCAGGGGAAATACGACGTGGGAGCAGTCGGAACCGTCCTTTTCGCCCCAGCTATAATGAATACCGCCTACTAATCTCTCACAAAGGGCAAGCACGGTGTTCATAATAGCCTTAGCGATAAGAAAGTAATCACGTAATGGACGACTTGAGTGCAAGTGTACCTTTCCTATGAGGCCCACGTGGAGTTTCCGCTTTAATTCAATCCCAAACCAAATTTTATCGTCATGGTCAAGATCATGAAGAAACTTACCCTGAACTTGAAACTCGAAAGTTCGATTTCTCCCTAAAAAATAATTTTTAAAAAGATGTCGCAAAAAGTATGTTTCTAAAATAAGAAAGTTAGTTCGCTTAAAGGGATTTTTACAAGTTTATAAACTTACCTTCAAAATATGACTGATAGGGTCCTGTGTTAGGCTCTGTGCGTATTTTAATAAGACAGAGGCCCTCAAAATGCTCAGATTTATTTATAAATTGTTAGACAAAAAAGAAGTAAAACCTATAATACCTCAGTAGCAAAGGAATCGGGTCTTCGTGAGTTCGGAGTTATAGCTTTGGATTCACCTCCATACTTAATAATGCATTTTATAAGAAATCTTTAATACCTACTTAAAATTAAAACTACAATATGAGTAAATTTTAAGGGGAGTTGAGCAGATGCAGAGGAAGTTTGAGCGACCGATAAAGAGGATAAAGGTGATGATATAAGCTTTCTTGAGGTCATTTCTGACAGCTCTTTTTGTCTATTATTTTGATTCGAATGTCTATAACGCTAAAAATAAATAAGCTTAAAAACTAATTAAAGTGTTACAAGGAAGTTTCAGAGGGTATTATAGTTTGATTATCAGAAAGTAACAAAGGATTTATCCCTAATAAGTTTAGTAAAGTATTTTTAAGTAATTTATAACTTTCTTATAACAAGTAGATCTACAAACTTACACTTCCTTTTTAGCTGAGAGGCCACAGGCAAAGTAGTTTTCACATTCCTTACGGGGGGGTGTCGCTTATTATAATTTTTTGAGGCAAAAGTACTATCTAATAAATTCGCTCTATAACTACTTATTAAGGGTACGGAGAAAAGGCCGATGGCTAGTTAACAGAACAATAAGTACAAAGTTAAAATCCTTTTGAAAAAAACTCTAAGTACCTAGAAAAAAAATACCAGTGTACCCCCCAATAATATATCCAAATAGCACTAATCCAATCTGATAATATGTATTAAACAAGTCCTTTGCGAAAGTAGTGCTAAAGTTCATGGGCGGGTTAAGAATTCAAAGGTAAGGCCTATTAAGAATAAGTTATACTAAATTACCTCACATTTATAACGCAAGTTAGATAATACGAAGTAAAGATACATTTAGAAAAACTGGATAAGAGAATAACTACTAGAGTACACAGTTTTAGGGATTATTTGTACATCGCGGTTGTATATTAAAAGTACAAATTTAGAAAAAGTTAAGCGGTGCGGAAACGGCTTATCTTGAGGTTAACTTAAACTTCACCAAAAAAGGAGCCCAACTAGGTTCCATTAGTCCGTTAAACCTAAATACACGAGGCCCCACCCACAAATAGTGTATTTGTCAAATTAGTGAGAATTATTGCACTTCTTAGCAACTATATTTGCTGCTTTATTCTATAACAACTAACATTAAAAAATTTTAACAAAGAACAATTAGCCAAATTTGGAAATCATTAAGGAAACCAAAAGCTGAGGAGTGGGCGGCCAGACTGTGAATCTTAATTTTGAAAAGCTGTAAAAAGTTTATTTTTCAGTCTTATTTTAACTCTTCAACTGTTACGAGCCAAACAGGTCAATTACATAAGCTCAGTGGTTAAGAGCTTTGACGCGATTCTCATGGTCGTGGGTCTCGTGCGCATCGACGCGGATTTCTTTTTCGGTCTTTTGATAAACAGTACGAAAATTGATTCATTTCGAAGGAGACCAAGATCAATCAATATGGTTGAGATGATATTAGGTGGTGTTGGAACCAATCCGGCATGATTGAATACTTGATCACCAGGTGGTGCAAACTTATAAACATGGGGGTGGGGATCAATTATGATTTGGCCCTGTATAACATGTAAGGGGGGTCGAATGTTTGGGAAAAGTGACAGGGGGCATCACCGCAATCACGTATTTAGACATTACTAAGAATGAACTACCCAGAGCATGCGATTGATATGACCTTGGACATGGTAAATGGTTTTTCAGCAGGATAATGCACCAGGTCACAATGCACTATCAGGGCGATCTTGGCACCAATAACCCTCGTTCCAAGTGCCAGAGTGGCCTCCACACTTCCCTGATCTCAATCCCACTGTGCATGCATGGTGGAGAGAAACTTGGGATCGTACGAATCAGCTGCTGCTAACATGGACGAGCTTTAAACACGTGTCCAATCAGAATGGGAAAATATAACAACGCATCAATGCTAGGATCTGATTGCCAGTAAACCAAAGAGGATACAAGCAGTGATTCTGAAAAATGAGTACTATACTAATTACTAAAACCTCATTTATTAAATTTAATTTTTTCCAATTGTTTCTAGTCTTTCAACTTTAACAAGTTCATACCTTTTCGAGTATTAAACCAATGTAAGATCAAATACCAACAAAATGTAGCTAGAACGTTAAAGTTTACTGTGTATAAATTTTTAAAGTAATCCATTATTTTATTGAAAAGTTATTCTATATTAAAAGAAAAAATGCAAAACATTGAAACAATTTTGCACGATATCGTATATACGTTGGTAAGCTGTGGCCTGGGGGGGTATGAATGTATCCAATTTACGTGCTTCAACTGTGAGGTAGGTCTCTGTATAAACCTTTATAAAAAATCTGCAATACTCAAATTTTTTATAAAATTAAAAAATATATTTTGAAAAAAGTCAATCTGAGCCCCGGTTTACAATAAGTTTACACCCGTACCAGTTAAAAGGTTAATATTGTATTACTTATCCAACTAAAGTTTTTTTTTTCGCGCAGCCCTCTTGTTTTCCTTAGATGTGGCCTCGGACCTGTACTTTCTACTATGTATTTGCTGTTAACCCTTTAACGGGCAAAACTATGGGACTCAAAATAAATTTGTTTTTCCTGCGAAATCACTAAATTGAACCTAGGAGTGGTAAACCTAGTAACCAGTAACCTATAAGGGTTAATATTTACTCGATTTCATATATATTACTATTTTCCCGGTGTTGTATAATTCCTTTTCTGTTACATTTAAACTTGTACTATATATAGCCTTTCTATATTAAAAAACTTCTACTGTCTAATTTAACTGCAACTCCAAAAGGGGATTAATAAACTAAAAATAAAGAAAATTAAAGAAATGTAAATAATAAAACGAAATCTGAAGTTTATTTTTTTTTATAATTTATAGCACTGTCATTGCTTCATCAACGAGAAGAACATATGCGCTTTATCGTTAAAGTTAGATAGTATATATCAATAAAGACGTAATAGCAGAGTAATGACAATATTACAATTAACGGGATAGTTAACTTTCAATACCGTTATATTTATTTGTAAAATAAATTTTAATAAGTTAATAAAATAAACTATAATTTTAGCTATATTTCCCCTCTATCAAAGCTAAAAAAATATATTTGTCGCGCAGCACCACTCTTCCCTATCAATTTTTTGCGTCATCAAGAAAGAACTACTGCGCTTTATCAGTACAGCTAAATAGTATTTATAAATAAAGGCGTAATTGTAAAGTAATAACAATATTACATATTAAAGGAATAGTAAAGTTTTAATAACGTTTTATTTATAAAAATATATTTTAATAAGCTAATAAAATAAACCATAATCTCTTTTAAATAGAGCTAAGAACTGTTTTGGCCGCGAGTAACTGATGTGCCTACATGAGTCATTATAAAGAGGCTGCCTAATTAGATGTTGCGGTGACTACTGACCCTAGGAATCCAGTTCCGTAAAATTTTATAAAAATATTCTTGAATAGACACACAAGATAACATCCTATAAGTATTTTGACCGTTGCACACAAACTAAGGGGCGTCCACCGCCCTTTTCAGAGCGTGATTTTGTAGTATTTGCAGGCCATGATTATGATTGCTTGAGAAATAAGCCCAGTCAATAGAGACATAGACCATCAGCGGGGGATAACGATTAGTATAACAGGAGCTTGTTTTTTTAAATATTATTTGCTTTTCCCGTATAATAAAAGATTTAAAAATCTATACCTTGTGCTGGTAGTAGAAACGATGTAAGAAAGATGCGGAGTCCATCTTAGTCTGTCTTCGAGCATAACCCCGAGATAATTAACCTTTTTATTCGAGGAATGACAGTTAGTTAAGAAAGACTAGGGCCTGGTTAAGTAACCTCTTTCTTGTTATAATCGTAAAGCTACTTTTCGAAGCATTAATTTATAACCTTTATGTTAAAAACCATGCCTCAAGTGCTCTCAAATAAAACTGTTTGTTAAACACCTGCCAGGCGGATTTTGAACTATAATAAAAGGCTGTGTCATTAGCGTACTGGGCTAAATTATTTTTGATAATTGTAGCATTAAGGACATGCAGATAGAAAAAAGTAAGAGATAATAAGGAGCCTTGAAAGACGCCCATCTTTAATTGTCTAATATTAAACTCAAATGAACTTACTTTAGCAGTAAAGGCTCTAGCCGATAGGTATGAGTGTACCACCAAAGTTAAGTAAAAAGGGAAGCTGGTAGTAATCAGTTGAAGACTGGACCGTCGCACTAAAATTTATAAAAAGCCTTATTAATATCTAAAAAGACCTCACCTTTTACTTTTTTATTTTTATTGTTAAAAGCTTTCGTAACTTCTTCCATAAACCTGAGTATCTGGTGAATTGTAAAAGATTTTTTTTAATTAATCAACTTGAAAATTTGGCAAGACGCATATACTATACACAAATTCTTGTAACCTAGATGACTGCTACTTCCGCCTCTCCTAGGCAGGATAACAAGTTTATGGGGCAATAAACTTTTATAAAACGACTATAGGATCTAGTTTTAGGAATAAACTACCTTTGGGGAAAGTAGGCTAAATATTTAATTAATTAACCTTAAAATCAGAGAGATAGTTCGTAAAGTTAAGTTTTTAAGCATTAAATTAGAAATACCGCGGGCTACGAAAGGCTTTTTTGTAATAAGGGCTCTGTAAAAGTTTTAACTCCCGCACTGGTGGTAAGCTAAACCATTTTACATATGTTTGGACGTAAAAGATAAGAAGTAACTATGGTGGGCACGTTCTTGGTATGGTGTTCATTTTCATCGGGCTCTAACAAGTTTTAAACGTTATTTATCCATCGAAGCTGTGAGTTATTACCGTAGCCCAGGTGGCTAAAACGTTGTCGCGCAGTCTCAAGATCGCAAGTTTGATCCCAGCGTTGCCAACTCGCATTTTTCTGGTCAGGTGTCTACGTGTACAACTTCCCTAAAAACTTTGATAGACTTAAATAATTTCGAAGAAATTTTTAAGAACAAGAAACTTCTATGATTATTTGCTAAACCCCTGCAGGAGTGAAATATAAGAAAATTAACACCCTAATAGTTATACTACGAAATCTAAAAAGTCTCTATTATATGCTTACTAGTCCTAAAACTCCAAAGTCCTATTTAACGATTTTTAGGCAACTGACCCAACAATGTTCCATCCAAAGTTATAACAAAAAATACATAAGAAGAACTATGGTTTTGCTTTTCTATATTGTAGGTATTAATAACTTTGGTGTACAGGTACGTTTCATGGGTTAATACCACTAAACCTATCCAATGACTTTTGAACGCCCAGTAGGCTGTTGCCTTAAAACAAATATAAACTTTACTCCTATTAACAACTAATATAAAGAATATTGAAAGTTGAGTATAATGGCAACTATCCTGAGCTTGATTGCACACCGACTAAAACTAAACTATGTGCTCAAGTTCCACCCTTGAAAGATGCTTGTACGGGAAGTTTTTAAGGAGATAAAAACCCCGCCCTTTGGTTCTCGTGGACCTTACCTGAATCTGAGATATCTATTAAAATCTCCTAATAATCGTGTCACGTGCCAGGTAATGCTACCAATTTTATCTGCTTGGTCACTACTGTAAAATTCGCACTTCAACTCATTATTAGGTTAAAGGGCAGACCCTCGCAAAACGTCCAAATACACAAAGACTATAAAAAGCTTCCTAGTATGCTAAAGTTCTAGAAACTCACACTAACAATCATTGTAGATACATATATTATTTGAATAATAAATCTTAAAAGGATCTCCAATTACGTTTAACTGCCTTATAACCGCCCCAAGTTTACCAAGAAACAAACGCTTTCTAACGATTATATTAAATTGTTATGATCACCACCAAGTCAGCAGTTAAATATATAGTAAGATAATCTACTGGGGGGCTATTGGTTTCCGAAATAAAACTTCTTTTTGTTAAAGGAAAATTACTTATAGATGAGAGATCCTTTAATTTTTAAAT